AATGCTTTGTTTTATTTCCTATGGTCAGTAATAGCTTTGTTAATGCTTATGAAGTGATTTCTTTCCATGCTAAACACTCTTGTAGCTTAACAGTGTTTCCAAACTACAAGAAAGTATTCTCATAGTTACTACTATATATACACTACAAGTGTACATGGCCCTGATCCTGTGAAGAGAAAACTTCCTTTGCAAATGCACCATCCATTCACTACAGTCCTGGTTCTCACATTGTCCACGTATATAAATCTTCAGGAAAACGGAGAAGATCATTTTGTCACAGACCTAAATGTGAAATACAGTGACTACGTTCTCTTTCCGGTGAAATAGTGTCCCCTCTTCTGTTTTAAGTGGTTACTCCACCTCAAACTTTTTGTTTAGAATCTGGTGGTATTTGTTTTTCAGTGAGTTGCTCCTGCAACGTTTTTGGCAGAAACATGTTACTTTAACATTTTTGCCCTTCTTTTAGAGACATACTCAACTTTCTACGATCTGGTGACGTGCCGCCAAGGGAACGTGTGAGGGCAGTTTACAAAGAAGCTCAGTATTATTCCATAGGACCATTGCTAGACAATCTAGAGGATATCCAGCCTCTTAAAGGAGAAAAAGTTAGACAAGCTTTCCTGGGCCTAATGCCATATTACAAAGGTAAATAAACAAAGTAGTATTGACTGTTTGTTCCAGCGTGATTCAAGTAGTTTACGTGGTGCTTTCAGCTCTGCTTCAGCCTTCAAACTAATATCATTGTAGCTGGGAAGTTTATTGTGCACTTTTCATGCTTTTTAGATCTTTGAGGTCTCCACATCAGATTTGTTCCTGCCGCATCCAAGGATGCAGATTTTTATGCTGCCTTTATTAAAAGGGCCATAACATTCAAGGCTTTATTAAAATATGAAGGTTTCTTTGCCTCTGCATTTGTGCTATTAGGACTTGCAACTGAACGAGCTCAGGCAGTAGGGACACTGAGTTCACAAGGTGACAGATTGATTTAATTACTATATATTTAGCTATGTGCAGCTTCCTGTTGCTGCTAATACGATGTTAAGAATAATTTGTTAAGCACTGTAGTAGTGTTTCACATGAAATGATGGCATTTGTTTTATTTTTGGGGTTTTTTATTTTTGTTGGGTTTTTATTCTGTGTTTTAGATCATTTGGAAAGGATCATCGAAATAGCAAAGCTCAGAGCTATGCAGAGAAAAGCAAGATTTGCAAAATTGAAGGTCTGTGTCTTCAAAGAAGAGATGCCCATCACTCCCTATGAATGCCCACACTTCAATTCTTTACGTTTTGAAAGGAGTGAGAGTGAGACAAAGCTATTTGAACATCATTGTGAAGTAGATGTATCTTTTGGGCCCTGGGAGGCTGTGGCTGATGTATATGATCTTCTGCACTGTATCGTGACAGACCTGTCTGACAGAGGGATAACTGTGGATCATCAGTGTATCGGGGTGTGTGATAAACACCTGATAAATCACTATTACTGCAAGCGTCCTATCTATGAATTCAAGATTACTTGGTGGTGAGTTACCTTGTCCAGAACAGTGCAGGGAATAAAAGGACTTCTAGATGACAATTGCTTTTAATATTTTTGCAACGTGTCTCTGGAAATGCATTGCTGCTAACATGTATTGGAATCAGTCTGCTGAAACGTTGGCTAATGCTTAGCTGCTCAGCACAAGGGAACCTGGTGCAGAGGTTGGAAAACCTCTGCAATATTGAAAAACCAGCCTGAAACAAGACTGTTGGCTCAGGTACCTTAACGAGGCACAAAACAACATCACCTCATGGAAATTACAGAGTGGAGCGTCTAACATCTTCTGTAAGGTGGCACCTTCCATGTGGCTTTAGTATCAGAGTCTGCAGAATGGATATTGCAGCTCTCACTTGCGCTGTTATAAAGCCGGGGTGCTAAGAATGCTGACCTAAGGTGGTTGAATTTTACCCACTTAGAAAGGTTTTAGTCATTACTTAAACTTGCCACTTCCTAAAATTGAGTAACACCCAGCACAGAGATTCTGGAAATGTAATTTTGATGTGATAGATCAGTTAAAAAAACAAAAGGAAAGGAGCAATCCCTATATAGTATTAACTGTTGTCATGATTAAGCTATATTTCTTTTTTAATTAAGAATCTGCATTGTGACTTTATAACATTATATTTCAATTATTTCCATTGTTATAAGAAGGAATAGCAGATTTGGAATATATTCCTTAATGCTTTTAGGAATAATAACTGTTCATGGAAGACTTGTGCCTGTTTTTAGCCTTAGAAATTCTAAATGTTTACAGTATCTACAAAAAAAAAAAAAGCTCTTTAGAATCAGGTCATTTACAAAGGCTTTTGGTAAATGAGAAAACCCTAAGTGTATGTTCCTATTAGCAGAAGTAAGAGGAATATTTAATGTGTGTTATTTTATTACTGACTCTTTTTACATTCTGTGATATTAAACTTTGTTCTAGAGTTAGAGTCAAGTGATGATACTAGACAAGTGCTTTCTTCACCTCACCTTCTCCAGGCAGTTAAGTCTCATTTTTAACATTCTTGTTGACCCTTCCTGGTATAAGATCAGGAAAAATAACCTTCCTATTCAAATAGTTCTCCAATTATAAACCAATATATCTGTGTAGTAAGTGTCTTTCCACGCTGAAAGAGGCAGCCATTGCAGAATCATGTTCTTTTCAGAAGGTAATACTTGCACTTCTGACATTAGTAACCACATCCCAAAGTTGAATTACTTAATGCCCAAAACTCAAAGGGAGAATTAAACATCTGAAGATAAAACTTGCGTGAGGGACAGAAAATGAAGTGCTTCTCCAAAAGACCCCACATGAAGTGGCCTCAAAATAATCTTAAGGAGAGAGGGGGAAATAAATGTTTGCATATTGCATTCCATTGGATCAGCTGATCCAAGAACATTGGTCAATTAAGCTTTTGACCAAAACACTTAAATGTGTTAATTGCAATTATTAAAATTCTCAGTTACCTGAGGTAATTTTTAGAATAATTGTAAGAACTTTATGATCCAATTGTCTTGGAAAAAAAGAGGCAACTTGTTTGCATTGTCACACTTGTATTTATGTCATTTAGGAGGTTTTAGTGATGTGTCTCTCTGAGGTGGGGACATACAGTTCTGATGATCTCTTTTCACATGTTTACTTGTAGAGGATCATTGTCAAGTGCTGAGGTTCAAGTCCAGAGCTTAGATTTTGAAATGGAAGGAGGGAGGAAATCATGTGCACTTGGATCTCCATTTAAGCTTGTTTCAGTTGTTTTCTTAAATATTGGCCTTTGTGTTACAAGGTGCTGTACTTGTGTTTGACAACCCAAAATTAACAGTCAAATGAGACCGCTTAAGATACTTAAGTTCAGGATTTTCAGCACCAATTTATATAAAGATTACAACAAGAATTGCAGTTTTACTGGGTTAATCAATGTGGTTTTGCCACTTCCCATATATGTATTCCCAGGGGACATAACTCTGGTTTGAATTTCAGCACAAATGGAACAGTCAGATTTAACAGTATGGTTTTTTTTAGTTTGGCTTTAAGACTTTTTCTGCTGTTACTCTAGAGAAGCTATGATGGCAAAGTCCCTGTTTTGATCATGTTTGCTATTTCTTAATATGCACACACTGATATTTCAGAACATTCCCCTGTTTATTGCTTAAATAGATAAGGAAGACTACCTAACTAAAAAGACAATTAATTGTGGTCTCTATCAGTTGCATCTCGACTGACGCTTTCATCCTTCAGATCCTCCAGAAGACAGCAGACATTAAGTGCAATATTGAAATAGAAAGCAGGGATTTGAGCCAACATGCTTTCATTAAACATGTACATTCTGTGTTGTGACTTGTGCAGGTTAACAGTATTGTTACTCACTACACTCCTTCTAAGCAGTCTTTGTTTACAATGATTTAGATGATGTTGCCTAATGTGGGTTCGTGTTTTGGCAGAAACAGAAGAGTTGGGCAGGTGGATGTCAGGGAGTTCAATCTAATAACTGGTTTATTACTGACTTACCTTTTCTTGGCGGGTAGCAAAACTTTTGAATTCTGCATTTGCAACAGAAATGTGAGTAGCTGATCTACTAAATCCATGTTTTTGTATATTGTGGATGCTTTATAATTGTCTAATTAAACTAAATACCTACATAATACTGCTTTTTTTCTTTAGGACTTTCCTTTCTACCTGACTAGGCCAGAGGTTTGCTAGAACATATTTCCCCATTTCTTTGTGCTTCTACTTTTTCCACTTTAGCATCTAGATAGCTACTTTTCCATCCCCACATTCCCAAATAGCCTGTGTTTGCAAGCTGATGCCATGGACAAATTGGCCAGGCAGTAAATGGTCTCATATAATCAATATACTACTGCTATTAATACTATGTTTGCAGATCGTTAGGAGGACAATGCATGTCCATCCATTTAGCTCATTCAGTTTGAAGGAAAGACGTTTTACTTTGTGCTCTAAGACAGGATAAGTGCCACTTCTGGTTCTTTTGTCTGTGATTCTCAGCATCTCTTTGTTTTTCGTAGTGAAATCTGAAGTGGCTGAACAGTGCCCTCCGGAACTGAACACAGCCTGTTCCAAATCTGTCCTGTGCAATGGGCATGAGCTGGTTTTTGCAAACATGGAAGTGGGAGGGAATTAGTTCTGCAGCGTATTTTCACGCACAGCAGAGAGGACCCAGGATAGTTCTGAGTTTTGGGCTATGGAAACATAATCTCATTTAACAAACAGAAACACCCCCCTCCCTACAGTCTTTCACTACCTTTCTCTAAATCTAGATTTCAATGTGTAACCATGTTCTGTTACTATATTCTGTATATAGTCCTCTAACTGGAACTTGCTTCCCAGAACAGCAGTTCTTAGTCATTTTACTTACACAAGCTTAGTATAAGTTTACCTCCACTTTCACTGTGACTTTTATAAATGGATTTTGTTTTGTTGAATTATAAGTTGTATGTGTCTATGCATTGTAACCTGTAATGCCTTTGAAAATCCAGCCTGGATGTTACCGATCAGGGTTTGGAATTCTCTCCAGATGTGTTACATGTTTAAGCAAGTTGATGCAGGATGTTTAACACTGTGTGTACTGTGGCTTATTATTTCTTACTACATTTTACTTCAGGTAATACGTAGCCCATATTTTTTATTTAAAATACATAGAAGAAAATGTGGATATAAAGTTTGTGTTGTGCAATAAAAGTACATTCCACTGAAAACTGTTGGAATCTGGTCTGCAGCCACTGCAGTCCCCATCCTCAGTCCCTACAATTTGAGTTCACTTTGCAAATGAAAATTAAGACCCAAGTCTCCATTGCAGGTTTTGCTTAATGGCACCAGTCACTAATTTTTTCACCATTTCCTTCACAGGAAGGAAACAGTTGTGCAGTGTCTGCAGTCTCCTTGGGCAGACTGGCTGGTATCAGTCCTTTCAGTTCTGCTTCTTTTCCCCTCTACTCCTCTGCTCCTGTCAGACAACCCAGAGGAGGGCCAAACTCCCCCTGCTCGCACAGTGCTCAGTTTCTGAAGTAACTGGAGTACCCTTTTCCCTGCTGTCCACTTGTGTTGCTAACACCATCCCTTGCTTTCAGAGCTGGATGTCTGTGTTGAGCCCTGCTCTGGGGGGGAAAAAAAAACCCAGATAGCAAAACCGGTACAAGAGGACTGTGTAAATGAGAA